AAAGCTCTAACACAAATATGGAAAGCGCATCTGATCATACTGATAGATGTTGGGTTAGAAGATCTGAGGTTGTGTGTTTGATTCATACTTGGTGCAGTAACTTTATAAATCCAATTTCCCACAGAAGAAGAACAAATGTGTCCCTGTGACTGTGAAGTGTGTTCAGTCATATAGCTCAGAGTGGAAGATGGGTGGTCTGTCGAGCTGAGGTTGAGTGTTTGGTTCCTGCTTGGGTCGACCACAAAGAAAATTACTTTGAAAGGTTATTATATTGTTTCTATGAGATTTCATAGCTCATGGACTTATGAGGAAGCTCAGTAGAGCTGATGTTGTGTGTTCGATACTTAGGTTTTTAAGGTCCAACACCCATAATAAATGAGTCCAACATGCAGAGGTTGTGACACAAACTCTACCAGATACCTCATATCTGATAGCTCAGAGAGATACAAGACTGTCCTGAAGCACTGAAGCACTGAAGCCTTAGGTTTGATCCTCATGAAGTGCAGTGATTTTTCCAAATACAACACCCACCCAGTAAAAATGTGTTTTGAAGTCCAAGACCCAAAGTGTATAATTAGGTTACCAAGTGACACAGGGTCAACCCAGGACAAATGGCTCACAGGGATAAACCACAGCCTCGCCAGGTTGAGCTGAGGTTTTGGGTTCGATCCCCATAAGGTGCATAGATTTTTGGAAGTTTAATACCCAAAGTGCAGAATTAGATTACCAAACAAAGGTTTATTGTCCCAGGTCAAATGGCTGACTGGGATAAAACACTGCCTTGAAGACTGGAGGTTCTGGGTTCAATCATCTTTATTTGCACTGGTTTTCAGGTAACACATCCAAAATGGTGTACAGTAAAAATGTAGTCCAAGACCCAAAGTGTAGAATTAGGTTACCAAGCGACACAGAATCAACCCAGGTCAGATGGCTCACAGGGATAAAACACTGCCTTGAACACAGGAGGTTGAGGGTTCAATGCTTATCATTGGCAGGGACTTTTAAGGTCAAGCACCCGATATAATGACAGTACAAGTTATTATAGTTTTACATTAACATCTGGTGGTAGTGCAATTCCGTTCCATACTATACTATGACTTTCTTCACATTGACTTTGTTTCACAACCCCTACCAAGAGACAGTCTCTACCAGAAAACTGACAGAGAGCTCATGTCCTTTAGCTCAGAGTGATATGAGAAGGATCAGAAGACCAGAGGTTTTGAGTTTGATTCTTAGAGGGAGCAGTGATATTAAACATCCAGATTAAAGAAGAGCAGAGTTTTACATTTACTTGTGTCCATGGTAACTGTTCTAGGCACAGCTTTGTGACAAACTACACAATTACTTTTTTTACATTTCCTTTTTGAAACAAAGTCTTGGACAGTTGAACAATGACTGTCTCCGATCTGATAGCTCAGAGTGATACTACGCTGCTCAGGTAAACTGAGGTTTAAGGTTCGATCCCCATGAGGTGCAGGGATTTTCTGGAGTCCAAGACCCAAGTGGAAATATTACCAAACGCAACACATATGGGCCAGGGCAAATGGCTGACTGGGATAAAGCACTGCCTTGAAGACTGGAGGTTGTTGATTCAAACCTCTTTATTTCCACTGGTTTTTCAGGTAAAACATTCAAAATGAGGTAAAGAAGAGTTTTTCATTTATAAATGTTGGTGGCACAATTATGTAACTTACTTACAAGGATAGTTTTATTCAGATGGACTGCACTATGACTTATTTTATTTCCTTTTTTACATTTGTATTTGTCACATAATCTACCAAACAACAGGTCACTGTCTCAATCTAATAGCTCAGAGTGATACAACGCTGCTCAGGTGAGCTGAGGTTTTGGGTTCGATCCCCATGAGGTGCATTGATTGTTGGAAGTTTAACACCCAAAGTGCAGAACTAGATTACCAAACGAAAAAGTATTGTCCCAGGTCAAATGGCTCACTGGGATAAAACACTGCCTTGAAGACTGAAGGTTGTGGGTTCAATCTTCTTTATTTGCACTGGTTTTCAGGTAAAACGTCCAAAATGGTGTGAAAAAAGCGTAGAGAAGAGTTTTTCATTTTAAAATGTTGGTGGCACAATTGTATGACATACTTACAAGGATAGTTTTATTGGATGCACTGCACAATAACTTGTTATTTCCTTTTTTACATTTTCATTGTGACATAATCTACCAAACAACCTGAGACTTCCACAAATGAAATAGCTCAGTGGGATACAACGCTGCTCAGGTGAGCAGGAGTCTTGGGTTCGATCCTCATGAGGTCCATGCATTTTACAGTTTACACTGTTTTCACAGTCTAACCATCCAAAGTAGAGAATGACTTTACCAAATGAGATGCTACAGTCACTGGTCAATTGGCTCAGAGGGATAGAAGACGGGTTAGAAAGTCTGAGGTTGTGTGTTCGAGTCCTCGTGAGCTATAGTGATTTTTAAAGTGCTTTACTCAAAATGAAGAAGATAAATGCGCCCGGAGCACAGGTCTTCATGTACATGTGTTGGTGGCCGGATTGGGTCTGTTCTCGGCATTAAGGCGCCCGTGTCGAGTTCAGGTCTGCTGCTTAGCATGTACGGGTTCGAGACTCGGAGTAGCTGAGTTAGGCATACTAAGTGAGGCAGGTAGTTCATACTAAGTGAGGCAGGTAGTGCACAGTAGATGAGGCAGGTAGTTCATAGTAAGTGAGGCAGGTAGTTGAGGCAGGTAGTTCATACTAAGTGAGGCAGGTAGTGCACAGTAAGTAAGGCAGGTAGTTGAGACAGTAAGTGAGGCAGTAAGGTAGGGTAGGAGTGTCGCATAGGAGAGGCAGGTAGCGTAGGATAAGAGAGGCAGGTAGCGAAGAGTAGGCGAGGTAGGATAAGAGAGGTAGGTGGCGTAGGAGAGCAGAACGAGTAGATCAAGATTTTAAAAAGCAGAAAATCTTTTTTTTTGCTTTTTTTTCAGATTTTTGCTTCTTTTGGTCCTGAAAAGCAGCACCGCAGCCGCAGGGGGGATTCGAACCCTGGCATCTAGGATTCTTCACTGGGTCATACAAAGAAGGAAGGTTTAAGTTATATTTATCATGACAAGTAATAATCACCTTTAAAAAAAAAAATAAGACATACATTTATTTTATACGTCATTATTAATGACCTTTAGAAACTATTTATGATTTTCTAAAGGCATTTCACATTTTAACAACATTATTTGCTAATTATTGTGGATTTAATTAACTTTTCTATGACTTTTTGCAGTTTAATGATTTTCTGCTCTGACTTTTTAAACAACTTTTTATGAAAAATGTAATTGTTTTTTGTAACTTCTCTTTGGCAAACATTGTAATTAAATTCTTGTGACTTTTAATCATTCTTATGAATTTGTTGCTATACTATATACTATGACTTTCCTATGACTTTTATTAAGGCAAACTATACTATGACTTTTTCTGACACTAAATTACGCATGGCGCAGTAAACTATTATGGCATTTCTAAAGTTTTTACTTTCCTAAGACTTTCTGAACACATTTAAAGGTTTGCGCTTACTAAGGCTTTTAAATGCCATACTTTACCACGAGTGGAGGAAGAAGAGCAGAAGTGAAGAAACCCGGCCGTCCTCAGATTTGTTCCAGAAACTCTGCACTCATCTTGGGGACAAATGAAGAGAGGGAAGACAGCGTTAGGATTATTCTGGTTTAAGACATTTTCAAAACTAGTTTTTCTCTCTACTTTTTCAGGTATTTATTGTGCATTTTTAAAATATTCTTCACCTCGGGAAACAAATATTTCGTCAAAAAAGTAAGGCGTACAGAAGGGTTGATGTTATCTCAGGGACTGATGGCTGCTGTATTTCTGTATGTGGTTATTCTTTCCCTTTTCATTATTTATAGAATATTTAGAGTGGTTAAATGTATTCTTTCTGCATTAAAGGTGGGGTAGGTAAGTTTGAGAAACCGGCTCGAGATACACTTGTTGTTATATTCCATGGAATGCTCTTAACATCCCGATAGCAATGAATATCTGAAGTGCTTTGACACAAAATCCATAAAAAAAATGTAATCTGTGGAAGCTGTAGTACTGTAAAAAGCACGACCAATCATCTGAGCCGGCCCGGCTAAAATAACTGGACGGCCTACCTGCCAGTCAGCCTTCCATCTGTGCACAAACTTATCTCGTGCCCTCATTGGTCATCTGCGTGTTCGTGTGTGTTGGAGGAGGGGCTCTGTGAGGGTTTCTCCAAAATGACCTACCCCACCTTTAAGTACTTAAGTACTTTTTACTGATTAAACATATATTTTCTCAAGAAACATCAACATGATTTTTTTATGACAAATACAATAATACATTTGTCACGGTTTCCTAAACTATGAAATTAAATCAAGCCATTCTACATCAGCTCACCTTCTACTCATACTTAAAATAAAGCCTCCTCCCCCACTGGTTTCAGTGAGTGGAAGACGATAAAACACAGCTTTACATTTGTCAAAATACCTGTCAGAAAATAGAAGATAATGAATCTCGTGTATTTCAACAAGTAGCTTCATAGATGTTACTAAAAGTGTTAAAAGTAAATCCGTTTCTGAACACATTCAGGAGCCTGATGCACCACAGGAGATTTAAATTATCTTAGTATTCAGGACAACAAACATGTTGGCACAGAAAGCTTTTAAAATTAAAAACATAAAAGGTAAACATTAAACTATATAAATACAATATACATGTAGTGTCTTACATAAAACAGTACTGTTTACGCTACGCCAGTGTGAGGTTGTAAACACGGAAGTGGAACGTGACTAAAACACTTTCAGACCTTTCTGATAAAAGTTAGCGTTACTGTGAGTAAACCTGACCCACGCGTAAAACAACAACACTGTCTACTAACAGTATTTACTTACCAATGTTGACGGGATATCAGAATGCGCAGGTTGTTTGTAGAGAAAACGTCAACAAGTTATTCCACACCGGTGCCGTGCTGCTTCTCTGCACGATGAGACTTCCGGGGTGTTTCCTGCAGAGTGACTATTTCCTGCAGAGAGGCTCAACTGCTGAACGCATCACATGTAAACAACGTAGTAAACTATAATCTAGTAGTTCTGCAGCAAAACTGTGGATTAAAAAGGGATACAAATTAATGTATGGAAGATTCATGCAACGCTGACGCATGCGTAAAGTGGATAGATCGACACATTACGCGCACCTTTACCTCGATGAAGGTGCGCAGTGAAAAGTAAGTACAAGTAGGCTATTGTACTGAAGTACTTAAGTAAAAAAGTAGTTCCATTTAATGTTACTTTATACTTCTACTCCACTAAGAGGTAAATATTGTTTATTTTTACTCGTTTATTTTAACACTCATAGTTATTTGTACATATAAAACGATAGTTACGGCTGTAACTGGCTCTATGAGTCTCGTGCTTTAGCACTGGATATGTCCATCGCGCGCATGCGCAGCTCGAGTACCAATAACAACAAAGTCACCTGTGACCCACGTGACACCAGAGGCCTGTAGGCCTACTACGAAGCAGGATTTTCGCTTAGTCGGCTAACTTCAGCGAAAACTCGGGGTTTCCGGTCCTACGACGCTGGTTCTCTTTTTAGCAGGCTAGATCTCCATGGTAATTTATGCTGAGCGGCTAACCTGCCCCGGAGCAGGTTAGGTTGCAGGCTAAGAGCTCAACTCAGTGAAAGCACTGCCTGCTGACCAATCAGAGCTCAGTGTGCGGAGTTTAAAGCGATCAAGTCATATTACAGGAGAAAGGAAATACAGAAAGAGACAGCCGGCAAAAATCAACTGACTGTGTGAACGTGAACATTAATAGAATATCACCTCCCATCTTCAGAGCAATCTGACTATAATAACATTAGTGTTAAGAAAGCTTAATTAAATATCTGCCACAACATAAGTAACCGGATCAGAGTAACATTAAGTAGGCCTACAGTCCGCGGCATATCACATCATAATCATATATGTCCTTATCTGAGTCAGCTGAGCCGTATCTGGCCGTGCAACACTCACAGTGTCACATACTGTATTCAGAAGTATTATTTTGAGCAACACATTAAGTTGACGAAACACTCGAGACAAATGTAATGAAAGTCAGATCGTGTCTTAGACAGTGATATCATAAACCTGTTAATGTACGCATTCAAACACTTTTTCTTTTACCAGCTGTATTCACCTTGCAGGTGCAGCTATGTGGCTTTGATCCTGGATAAATTGTTTAAGTCATGGATGTTTAAAGTTTAACTTCTTCATATGTCTAATATTATAGTTGACTTTTCATTCAGGAAGTATGACGCTGTCAGTATGCTTCTCCGTGTTTGTGATTGGTCGAATACTTACTTTTCACTGCCTACCTGTTTTTTAATCGAGGTAAAGGTGTGCGTAATGTGTCGATCTTTCCACTTTACGCATGCGTCAGCGTTGCATGAATCTTCCATACATTAATTTGTATCCCTTTTAATCCACAATTTTGCTGCAGAACTACTAGATTATAGTTTACTACGTTGTTTACATGTGATGCGTTCAGCAGCTGAGCCTCTCTGCAGGAAAGAGTCACTGGAGGAAACACCCCGGAAGTGTCATCGTGCAGAGAAGCAGCACGGCACCGGTGTGGAATAACTTGTTGACGTTTTCTCTACAAACAACCTGCGCATTCTGATATCCCGTCAACATTGGTAAGTAAATACTGTTAGTAGACAGTGTTGTTGTTTTACGCGTGGGTCAGGTTTACTCACAGTAACGCTAACTTTTATCAGAAAGGTCTGAAAGTGTTTTTGTCACGTTCCACTTCCGTGTTTACAAACTCACAATGGCGTAGCGTAAACAGTACTGTTTTATGTAAGACACTACATGTATATTGTATTTATATAGTTTAATGTTTACCTTTTATGTTTTTAATTTTAAAAGCTTTATGTGCCAACATGTTTGTTGTCCTGAATACTAAGGTAATTTAAATCTCCTGTGGTGCATCAGGCTCCTGAATGTGTTCAGAAACGGATTTACTTTTAACACTTTTAGTAACATCTATGAAGCTACTTGTTGAAATACACGAGATTCATTATCTTCTATTTTCTGACAGGTATTTTGACAAATGTAAAGCTGTGTTTTATCGTCTTCCACTCACTGAAACCAGTGGGGGAGGAGGCTTTATTTTAAGTATGAGTAGAAGGTGAGCTGATGTAGAATGGCTTGATTTAATTTCATAGTTTAGGAAACCGTGACAAATGTATTATTGTATTTGTCATAAAAAAATCATGTTGATGTTTCTTGAGAAAATATATGTTTAATCAGTAAAAAGTACTTAAGTACTTAAAGGTGGGGTAGGTCATTTTGGAGAAACCCTCACAGAGCCCCTCCTCCAACACACACGAACACGCAGATGACCAATGAGGGCACGAGATAAGTTTGTGCACAGATGGAAGGCTGACAGGCAGGTAGGCCGTCCAGTTATTTTAGCCGGGCCGGCTCAGATGATTGGTCGTGCTTTTTACAGCGCCACGGCTTCCACAGATTACATTTTTTTTATGGATTTTGTGTCAAAGCACTTCAGATATTCATTGCTATCGGGATGTTAAGAGCATTCCATGGAATATAACAACAAGTGTATCTCGAGCCGGTTTCTCAAACTTACCTACCCCACCTTTAATGCAGAAAGAATACATTTAACCACTCTAAATATTCTATAAATAATGAAAAGGGAAAGAATAACCACATACAGAAATACAGCAGCCATCAGTCCCTGAGATAACATCAACCCTTCTGTACGCCTTACTTTTTTGACGAAATATTTGTTTCCCGAGGTGAAGAATATTTAAAAAATGCACAATAAATACCTGAAAAAGTAGAGGGAAAAACTAGTTTTTAAAATGTCTTAAACCAGAATAATCCTAACGCTGTCTTCCCTCTCTTAATTTGTCCTCAAGATGAGTGCAGAGTTTCTGGAACAAATCTGAGGACGGCCGGGTTTCTTCACTTCTGCTCTTCTTCCTCCACTCGTGGTAAAGTATGGCATTTAAAAGCCTTAGTAAGCGCAAACCTTTAAATGTGTTCAGAAAGTCTTAGGAAAGTAAAAACTTTAGAAATGCCATAATAGTTTACTGCGCCATGCGTAATTTAGTGTCAGAAAAAGTCATAGTATAGTTTGCCTTAATAAAAGTCATAGGAAAGTCATAGTATATAGTATAGCAACAAATTCATAAGAATGATTAAAAGTCACAAGAATTTAATTACAATGTTTGCCAAAGAGAAGTTACAAAAAACAATTACATTTTTCATAAAAAGTTGTTTAAAAAGTCAGAGCAGAAAATCATTAAACTGCAAAAAGTCATAGAAAAGTTAATTAAATCCACAATAATTAGCAAATAATGTTGTTAAAATGTGAAATGCCTTTAGAAAATCATAAATAGTTTCTAAAGGTCATTAATAATGACATATAAAATAAATGTATGTCTTTTTTTTTTTTTAAAGGTGATTATTACTTGTCATGATAAATATAACTTAAACCTTCCTTCTTTGTATGACCCAGTGGCTCACCTGGTCGGGCAGGCGAACAGTGAGCCAGGAAGAATCCTTGATGCCAGGGTTCGAATCCCCCCTGCGGCTGCGGTGCTGCTTTTCAGGACCAAAAGAAGCAAAAATCTGAAAAAAAAGCAAAAAAAAAGATTTTCTGCTTTTTAAAATCTTGATCTACTCGTTCTGCTCTCCTACGCCACCTACCTCTCTTATCCTACCTCGCCTACTCTTCGCTACCTGCCTCTCTTTATCCTACGCTACCTGCCTCTCCTATGCGACACTCCTACCCTACGCTTACTGCCTCACTTACTGTCTCAACTACCTGCCTTACTTACTGTGCACTACCTGCCTCACTTACTATGAACTACCTGTCTCATCTACTGTGCACTACCTGCCTCATCTACTGTGCACTACCTGCCTCACTTAGTATGAACTACCTGCCTCACTTAGTATGCCTAACTCAGCCACTCCGAGTCTCGAACCCCGTACATGCTAAGCAGCAGACCTGAACTCGACACGGGCGCCTTAATGCCGAGAACAGACCCAATCCGGCCACCAACACATGTACATAAAGACCTGTGCTCCGGGCGCATTTATCTTCTTCATTTTGAGTAAAGCACTTTAAAAATCACTATAGCTCACGAGGACTCGAACACACAACCTCAGACTTTCTAACCCGTCTTCTATCCCTCTGAGCCAATTGACCAGTGACTGTAGCATCTCATTTGGTAAAGTCATTCTCTACTTTGGATGGTTAGACTGTGAAAACAGTGTAAACTGTCAAATGCATGGACCTCATGAGGATCGAACCCAAGACTCCTGCTCACCTGAGCAGCGTTGTATCCCACTGAGCTATTTCATTTGTGGAAGTCTCAGGTTGTTTGGTAAATTATGTAACAATGAAAATGTAAAAAAGGAAATAACAAGTTATTGTGCAGTGCATCCAATAAAACTATCCTTGTAAGTATGTCATACAATTGTGCCACCAACATTTTAAAATGAAAAACTCTTCTCTACGCTTTTTTCACACCATTTTGGACGTTTCACCTGAAAACCAGTGCAAATAGAGAAGATTGAACCCACAACCTCCAGTCTTCAAGGAAGTGTTTTATCCCAGTGAGCCATTTGACCTGGGACAATACTTTTTCGTTTGGTAATCTAGTTCTGCACTTTGGGTGTTAAACTTCCAACAATCAATGCACCTCATGGGGATCGAACCCAAAACCTCAGCTCACCTGAGCAGCGTTGTATCACTCTGAGCTATTAGATTGAGACAGTGACCTGTTGTTTGGTAGATTATGTGACAAATACAAATGTAAAAAAGGAAATAAAATAAGTCATAGTGCAGTCCATCTGAATAAAACTATCCTTGTAAGTAAGTTACATAATTGTGCCACCAACATTTATAAATGAAAAACTCTTCTTTACCTCATTTTGAATGTTTTACCTGAAAAACCAGTGGAAATAAAGAGGTTTGAATCAACAACCTCCAGTCTTCAAGGCAGTGCTTTATCCCAGTCAGCCATTTGCCCTGGCCCATATGTGTTGCGTTTGGTAATATTTCCACTTGGGTCTTGGACTCCAGAAAATCCCTGCACCTCATGGGGATCGAACCTTAAACCTCAGTTTACCTGAGCAGCGTAGTATCACTCTGAGCTATCAGATCGGAGACAGTCATTGTCCAACTGTCCAAGACTTTGTTTCAAAAAGGAAATGTAAAAAAAGTAATTGTGTAGTTTGTCACAAAGCTGTGCCTAGAACAGTTACCATGGACACAAGTAAATGTAAAACTCTGCTCTTCTTTAATCTGGATGTTTAATATCACTGCTCCCTCTAAGAATCAAACTCAAAACCTCTGGTCTTCTGATCCTTCTCATATCACTCTGAGCTAAAGGACATGAGCTCTCTGTCAGTTTTCTGGTAGAGACTGTCTCTTGGTAGGGGTTGTGAAACAAAGTCAATGTGAAGAAAGTCATAGTATAGTATGGAACGGAATTGCACCACCACCAGATATTAATGTAAAACTGTTCTCTTTGCTTATATGAATTCATTATATCGGGTGCTTGACCTTAAAAGTCCCTGCCAATGATAAGCATTGAACCCTCAACCTCCTCCCTTCAAGGCAGTGTTGTATCCCTGTGAGCCATCTGACCTGGGTTGACTCTGTGTCGCTTGGTAACCTAATTCTACACTTTGGGTCTTGGACTTCAAAAAACATTTGTACTGGGTGGGTGTTGTTTTTGTGAAAATCACTGCACTTCATGAGGATCGAACCGAATACTACAGTTCTTCAGAACATCACTCTATGAAATCTGAGACAGGTCTCTGGTAGAGTTTGTGTCACAACCTCTGCATGTTGGACTTTCAAAACCTAAGTATCGAACACACAACATCAGCTCTACTGAGCTTCCTCATAAGTCCATGAGCCATGAAATCTCATAGAAACAATATAATAACCTTTCAAAGTAATTGTCTTTGTGGTCGACCCAAGCAGGAACCAAACACACAACCTCAGATCTTCTAACCCAGGGGTGCCCAACCAGTCGATCGCGAGGAGATTCCCAGTCGATCCCGAGATGTGTCTAAAAATAGAACAACAACATTCTGTTTTATCGTTAATGTCCTGTAACATAATGTTCCTGTTCCAGAATAATGCACTTGTACGCATCAAAGCTTTGTGATTGGCCGGCGTGACCCCATGTGTCGGGGCGTGGCTGGTGGGCAGTGGGCACTATTTCGCTGACGTTGTTGTCCGACCGTGTCAACAGGAGTAGTCCGCACACACACAAGACCGCAATTATGGCAGAAGCAAAAAAGCCCAAAATATATAATTTTCACTCCGAGTGGGAGGATGATTATGTTTGTATCTATTCCAATTCAAAGTCCATCTGTCTCATCTGCAATGCGAGCGTGGCTTTATCGAAGAAGGGTAATTTAGGAGCGGCATTTCAAAACAGTGCACACACGCTACGAGACGGAATTCCCTCCTAATTCTGCCCTACGCTCCCAAAAGGGGAGGGGCCTGAAAGGACAGCTAAATGCACAGCAGTCAATTTTCACCAGGCCCAACAACAAGAGCAAGGCTGCAACCAGAGCATCGTATCGCATCAGTCACGTTCTTGAGAAACACATGAAGTCTTTCAAAGACGGCGAAGTTGTGAAAGAAGCATTCCTGGAGGCTGCCGACGGGCTTTTTGGGGACAGTAAAAATAACTAGCATTTCAACAGGTTTTTGATATAATAAAAACTCAAGTTAGATACCGTTATTAATCAGCTGTAAGTTTTAGTTTGTTTGAACTTATTCATTATAATTATTGTACAAAATGGTATAAGAATGCAAACATTAAGATCTGTTCTGTTTAAATTGATTATAGTCTATTATCAATTCAGGTTAAGAAACTAGTGTTGCTTGCATCCTATTTTAAATGCATTTATATTTATATTCAACAAAAAAATTGTTTGATTCTATTAATTTAGTCTTTTTTATTGCACTTTGGCAGCAGATTCCTGTGTAGCTTCAGATCGGAGTTGTCTTATTAGTAAGCCGAATGTATACTTTTGTAGCAACACTATTTTTATATAATGGCAAAGAAAGGGTTCCGAGTCTTTTCTTGTTTCCCTGTGTCATATGTGGCAGCACTGTTCAATGTTTCTTGAAAACATTACGCACTGTAGTGACGTGTGAATAAACTCCAACTCTGTATCAACAACACTGTTGTGTAACTTCAGTTAAATACTTGTATGTGTGTAGATTAGAAAGATGTAAGATAAAGGATCTGCAGTATTTTATGAAGTATTCATCGTACAAAGGTCAGTTGTATACAAGTAGAAGTGTGTATTTACCTGGTAGGCTGTCAGTAATGGCTACGCCTCTCTATTTGGACTGGTAGATCTCGGCAGACTGGCAACTTTCAAAGTAGCTCTCGGTTCAAAAAAGGTTGGGCACCCCTGTTCTAACCCAACATCTATCAGTATGATCAGATGTGCTTTCCATATTTGTGTTAGAGCTTTTGATTTCTTCTCTCTTGGTGTTGGATCTAACGATAAATTGATAAAGATATAGCACACTGTTGGAGTTGAACTCACAACCTCATGCTTTCTGAGGGCTTCTTTATCACACTGAGCTAAGCCATCTGACAGGCAGTGTTACATAAACATACAGTATGCAATAAGAGCAACTCGTGAAATAAGTCATTCATTTAGGAGTTGAGCCAAAAAAGTCACATTACCTTAATAAGAATTGAACTCATAACCCTAAAGCTTACAACGAGCAAGTTTGCATTCAAATGTTCTTAGTAGGCTTATCTTAGTACGCTGAAGAGTGACAAATAATGTAATACAAACAATCACCTCTTAAACTTTATTGCACGTCATTTTATTTCCCAATGCAGGTTTTTAGGGCTTGTTAACACAGAGTATGAATATAGAAATGAGGCATAGAGAATAAAATAAAGCAGCAGTCTTGTGACCTATTTTAACACAGTTTTTGAGCAGTATAAAATACAAAGCATGAAAAACATCCTTGAGGGATCATATTGACATAATAATATTCATTATAATAATAATTGCAAAAAGTTGCATGTGATCAATGCAAATCAATACAGGCGTGCGTGAATAAATGCATAGTAGGCAACAAAGTGAAACAACGGTCACACTTCAGAAGTGTGCTGCTGCATATCTTTACATGCCATCTAAATGCAAGGAGCATTTGAGGTGTGGTTAAAAAATAGTTTATGCAATTAATAACCAAATATTTAAAGAGCAGAGACTCAATGCAGACAGCGAAGCTTGCATTTAGACAACAAGCAAAAAGCAGAGCCAACATCAGTAGATCCTTCACAATAAAAGCACAGTTCTTAAGATGTTAGTTCAAACTGTAACTAGTGGATGACCTTAATCTACCAGTACTTGTGTAAATCTGGACCACATTTGTTAAAGGTAATATACCAACTGTAACATTAAGTGTGAATCAAAACTAAATCATGGTTATGTAGGTATGTAGCGGGCCCTCGGAGGGCTGTAGAAGCTGTCCTTTTTTATGCTGTAGGTTTTGGTTTGTAGTCCTTGGCTCACTTCTCAAATCTCTTCAATTCAACAAGAATGCCTTTCATGTTTTTACCAGCGAAGGATTTCTCCCAGACGTACACCTCGATGATCCTGATCCCAGACCCCACCGCGGATCCTGTCGTCAGTGAGAACGGAAGCAAAAGGAAATGTAAATTTGATGAATACTGCAGAAATGGTTTATTAAAAAACAATGGACACAACTTTTAAAAGAAGCTTCTATGTGAAAGCAAAATTGGATCCTATTTTGAACATTACTGGTTACAAGGTTACAAGGTTCTTCCACTTCCAGCTACTTAAAGTAAAGTTATGTCACGTCTGATAATTGGGACTTCAGTACAGTGAGAAACCAGGTTATTTTATATTATTTATTACTTGACCATATGTATTGTTGGGGAAATATTTTCCTAGGCCCATAACTTTGACCCAGTGTATCAGTTTGGACTGCCCTCACTGGAGCACAGTCCTGTAACCTGCTGTGCTCTCAGTGTTTGGTCTCCCTGTTCCTGCCTGTTGGCATCAGCTGATAGAGGTGTGATGGTTTTATCTTGTTATGCAGCATGTTGATTCTTCTCTCAGAACTAGCTAAATACATAGGTCTGGGGTAGAGATCTTCAGAATTGGTTTGGCAACCGCTGTGTCAATGTCTTATGAATTCTCCGGCCGAAGCTCTAAATAAACAATCGGTGTTTACCATCACAGTTCCTGCTCTCCTCGTGTCTCTCTGAGTCTCGTCTCCATTGCTTCAGAAGTTTCCATCACATGTACAGTACACAGCACCAAATGTATTAACAATAGCCTTATAGCATATGACTTTCAAAGGTGTGCTTGATACTTGTGTTGCTTGTGTGTTGTTTGAGTAGAGACCTCTGCTCAGTTCAAATGTGCAGGGTAAATCTGTACATTTGCAACGCTATCAGCTTGTATGGAATATCTGGATTCTGTGACCTGAACAGGTGGAAAAGAGTCTTCCAAACAGCATCATGATGTTTGGTGCTCACTTGATCATGAGCAACACAATGCCTGCCAAGCATGACGGACCGATCTCCGCCCACAGCAGCCCCCCCACCACCACAGCCTGGAGGCCCCCCCCCCCACTGGAAGTGCAGGACCACCTGCCAGGTTGCACCACCAGGACAACTTGTCAAATCAATATGCTGGCACTTAACTTAAAACAAGTGTGTATATAGAATTTGTATTTTATCTCATCTTTTATTGGACAGTATTTACTTAAAAGGGATTCTTGTGCATGGAATAACGACGATGCATGTTAGCACAATACCGTAATTACAGGTCAAAGCGAAGCATTAAGGTTAAAGTACAGAGTTCTATAAAAAGGACACGAGGGAGACACAGAGGAAGCCATGTTGCAGAGTCATAACCTATTCATTTTACACTAAGCAGGATGCATGCAGCTAAAAGGCGGGTGAAGATGACAAATCATATGGGGGGTACGTACTTCACAGCACGGCAGAAGAAAAACAACAGCAAGGAGAGATCAGCGGAGGTGCAGTGGAACTCAACATGTAACACCTCACAGAGAGAGACAGAGGAACAACAGAGTCAGCGTGAGGAAGCAAAGGGGAAAGGAAGGGGGAAATCTGAGAGGGAAATCAGCCAAACTATGAACAATCTGCCCCCTGCTGCAAGCATCCACTACAGCAGGGATTCCCAACAAGAGGGGGGGCTTCTGCAGTACAGAAGGGGTGCAGCTCGACCAGTTTAATAACAAAACTAACAGCATGTTCTTATGATCTACTCAGACACCGCAGCAAAAACATTTACAGTCCTTACATTTCTACCTTCTGCCACTTTAAGAACAAATGCAACAATTACAAAATAACAATTCCAATAATCCTGTCAACATATAGTGGACAAGGTTTTCAAATAATACTGTCCAGATTTTGTTGGAAAGAAACAAAAAAAGACGAAAGATCAAATACTGTGATAATATTGAACAAATATCTAAATTGTAACAAACAGGTATCAACTGCTGTAAATATATTGTTGAAATTGCAGGGAAAGAATATGATTTTGAAACAATTGCAGTGTAGAAATACTGTTAAGAAAACTGAAAAATCACTATAAAACTAACAATACGACGGTTGGATCGCTGGATAAAGTTCCTTAGTCAAATGGTTGGATTTCATTCAGCATTAAACTGTGATGGAACACTTTGTATATATTCAAAAGTGTCTCCGAACCACCAAAGCGCATCATCGCCATAACTCTGTAGCCATGACAACGGCATCAATAACCAGATCTCTGAGGCTTCCTCTCAACACAGCCCATCTTCCACCGCTCGGATATGCTAACAAGTAAGACCATGAGGAGGCAACGGGGAAACCAACCGGCCACATCTGGGGGGTGAGGTCCTTCATTTAGAAGCTTTTAGTTAAAGAGAGATATTGCAATTCTAGTAGGGCTTTCATAAGGACATGTAGGCCTGGTGCACCCACTATTGTTGTCCCCAGGGCCAACGGTGCATCAACAAATAATGTCCCACTGTCAAACGCATATTGCAACAACCTGGTAGCCTAAATGCCATGCTTAGTTTCCAGCTTTGGCAAATGTCCCAGTATCTTTAAAACATATATATAATTGCACTTATATTAGGGCTTTTATGTTGCTTACAAAAGTATATTAGCTTATAAAGCCACACAGGGATATACATTCTCTTTATGAAAAGGTCAGGGACCATATCTTCAAGAGAAGTAACATGTTCAACAACCTTTGAAGGCTACTTGTGACAGTTGTAGTTAGTTTTATATATTTATCTTCCATTTTATTTTTCTTATGTATTTAAACTTTTTTGTCTTTTGCATTTTTTTATACTGAGTTTTAACCAGTTTGTGTCAACACAATGTTTTTGTTGCCTTGTTGTCCAGGAAGAAGCCCATGACCGAATATCAGGAGATGTTCCTCCCCCCAATCTCCTACAAGTCTTTTGTCACCAACTCCAAACAAAAAGGGCCCTACCACTCGCTGAAGGGGACCAGCGCTGAGACAACCTCTTTAAGGTGAGGGTTAAAGTCTGGTGAAAGGGTTCCCTCTGGCTGTGGGAACCCTGAGTTCATCACTCACAGAGCTTAGGGAGAATTTGGGAGGATTAAGTGTTATTTCTTTATCTGTATAAGACGGACAAAATAAAAAAAGCTAAATCTTGCATCGTTAATGTGTTTCAGAAAAGTCTATGTGACCCACAAGGTGGTCCCACTGCCACCAATGGCCCTGCCGCCGCGCTCCCCCCCTAAAGACCACCGCAGACACATTGTGTTACATTTGGGTTAGAAAACATACACAATAATAAACGTGTTCCTTTCTCTTAACGAGTTGTGCTGTTTAATTTCCTAAATTGGGATCAATAAAGTTTATTTGATCTAACTTTAAAGTGCAAATAAAACACAAGCCCTTACATTTGTGTGGATCCAGGGCAAATTGATTCTGAAGCCAATGTCGGACAAACTAAATCTAAACATCTGAAACTGTTGGCCGGCAATGTTTTAGCACCTTGACCTTTGCAGGAAAAAATAGCAGCCCTTCTGCTCTCTGAAAGATTTCAGTTTCACTTACGTCATCAAACTTGTTGACGTCGTTGGAAAGGAGGTTGACGATCTGGCCCGTGGTGGTCTTTCCCATGGCTGAACTGCTGAGACACAGAGCCTAGGAAGAAGAGAGGAAGGGCCATTAGTGCTGAGCATCGATCACAAACACTTTCCAAGAGATCACATTTGAGGGAAAGAGATATAGAGATATAAGAGATACGACCTGTAGTTTTAGGGCTTTTTGTTGAAGAAACACATTCAAAGGTCATCCCTTCAGTGCCATGACATGCAGGTCAAGCAGCATCAATGATAATGTGAACTGCCCTCCTACTGACCTTGTTGTAGATCATGTGACACATGGCCACTCTGATCTTCATGCCTGTCCTCTGGACGTGGTAGAAGTAGAGGTGATGGAGCAGGGCGAGTCCGATGGAGCAGACGGAGAGGCCGGCCGCGTAGCCCAGAGTCTCGTACAGAGCCGCCATGTCTTCTGGGTCGTAGTTCTCAAAGTAAATAATCATCTTCCCCAAGAACACCGGCTGGATCACCTTGATGACTTCCTGATAGGCAGGCAGGGAGATGGAGAAGGGTGAGCTTCACAACACACTCGTACAGTTTGACTATGGTATTTACCATGGTCTCATATGTGCAGATAAAAGACAAAACAAATGTGTTTAACAGTACCCTAAGTTTTGCATTTTAAGTCATTTTAGATCCAAAGCGTATTCCACTCATTCAACTTATTTACAGTTCTAAAAGATTCCCAGCACCCCACCTGGCTCCACTTTATGATGCATTTCCTGAGCGGCCGCAGCTCTATCAAATATTTGTAAAAAATAAAGCATTTCCCTTTTTGCAACTCTTAATGAAGTCATGTCGTTGCTTTTAAGATTAAGATCACATTTGACAATGGTCTTGTATAGTAAGTCAAAATATGTTGAACGAATATCTGAAAAAACTGCATTGACGTAAAAAATTAACCAAAAAAATACATAGTTTGTCGAAAAGCTTGATTTTTTTACATTTAATCGCAAAAACTGTTTTACATATCAGAACAAACAAGATAGTTTAGTATGTCACAAAACTCATAAAAACGTCATAGTATAAAATAAAATAAATCTGAACAAAATCTAAAAAAAAAAATATATATATATACAGTATATTTATAAAAAAACATTCTATGTACAAAAATAAAGTAATGTCAAAACTGTGAGAGGAACAAATGTCGCATGTTAAAAAAAACATACTATAGCAGTCCAAAAAATGTAAACAAATATGTCAGAAATATCATATTATATTATGAGGAGGCTAATGCGGAGCTGCCATCTTCAGTCAGCTGTAATCTTTAAGGTTAGATGTTTAACTGCAATCAAAGGGAAACACAAGAGCTGAACGTTATTTAATGTAAGATTCCGTTTCTGTCAGACATTCTTAAACTCATAAAAGTCCAGAGGAAGCTGTGAAGCTGCTGATGAGGAACTTTGAGAAGGATCTGCCGTGTCAGCTGGTGCCTGAAGGTCCCAGAGAAGAAAGGTACAGGGACCTCATTCATGAATGCCCTACTGCACTTTGAACAGTCTGGGAAATAAGTGCGGCAGTACCTGAAAGGGAAACATTGTCCTGCATGATCATTGATTTTAGAAGACATCCCCATGAAGTCTAACAATCAGGAATCAGAAAGTAGAATTTGTGCAATCGTACAAATATCTCGGGACAATTATTGACTCAAAATTGAGTTCTGATCCAAACTGTGAATTCCAGCTCCATACGAGACCATGACTCCCACCCTCTGCACTTCCTTCGGGCCGGAGGTTAGTTTTCCCAGAGTAGAACGAAGCGGTGTAACAACAGTTTTATCTCAGCAGCTATTGCACAAATGTACACATCATAGGAGCGTCACACAGATGCGTATTTATTTAATTATGAATGTCCATTTTGTACTAGTGTTTTCCTTCTTAATATGTTTTTGAAATATTTGGAGATCTGAACTGGTCCACTCCTTTTATTAGAGATGTGTCTGTTTGTTTTTAGTGTCCGGATGGATCCCTTGTCTTTTTCTCTGCAAACTAAATCTACCTACGGGTACAAATAAATAACCTGAAGTGCTCCAGCGACGCTCACACAGTTCAATCTTTCAGAATATTTGGTGTTTTTTCTCAAACAAGGTACATGCATTTTCTCAAAGTTTTTATAAAAAGCGTGTCATTTCATTGAATGCCCTTCTTTACCAATTACAGATGGTAAATTGTAATAATATTTTGAAGTTGTCTTGTTGGTGTGATAATACATTAAAAATAATGTAGATACAATGTTATTATTTATTGTGAAATATTCTTCTGATATTTTTGGGGTGATTTTCAACTTTCTTAAATGTGATGTTCTTCTGAAAATGTTTGATACCATCAGATGAAGGTTGCAATATAAATCAATGTACTGAATTTAAACGATGGGTATCAAAGATTTATCTCACCTGAACTTAAGTTTATTTCTTAAAAAAAATCTAAAATGATTGACACTTATAAATCATCTTGAAAAAAACATGACTACATTGACCTTTGTCTTGTTTTTACCCCACACACACACACACACACACACACACACACACACACACACACACACACTAGGGGAAAGAGTGAAGGCTGTGTTGCATAAACAAACAAGGCAAAGAGAATGTTTGCACCAGTGACAGAAGCCCAAAAAAGACACCAAGTAAAGCCTTAGTGAGCCCACAACCGATCTTACAATCACATATTAATTTTTATTTGTTTCCAAAACATTACCTTACATGTCATCACAGTCTTCTTCCAGTCAGACCTGGTGTGTTTACACTGTCGGTACCTGAAATAACGAGGTACAAACACAAGGCGTTTACAGTTCAGTGGAGGATTAGGGGCGGAGCCAGGAGAGACATTTTCACCAGGAGAAAACGCAGCCGGGACTCTGAAGGTCAAAGTTGAAATGTTATGAATGAAGCTCTTAACTCTGCAACACAAGCACATAACACTATACCAACAGTAGAAAGGCCATGTAAGTGTAAAGAGATAGGCAGTCTACAATCTAGAGGGGGGGGGGGGGTCCCAGACTCCACCTTTTATCCTTTAATGTACTGAGTGATGGCAGCAGAAGTCCAGTATTTTTTTTTTGTATCAACAATGATGTCATCACTGTCAAATATAAATATAGAAAAAGACGAATACTTTTGAGAGTCTCTTCTCTCAGTCTGTGCTTCGGGCAGACTCATTTCTTCTTCTTGTCCTGCGTGCTGGTGAACCACTGGTCCAGCAGCTTCTTGCTGTAGTAGATCTGCCAGACGTGCACCTGCACAGCGATGATGATCACCAGGTACATGACGGTCACGGCGGCGAAGCCGAAGATGAAGCGGTACGATTTGCCGTGCCGGTAGAGCTGGTGTGCCACGGGGAACATTTCCATGCTGCCGTAGATCAGAGGGGAGATGCAGAACAGCCCGCCGCTGATCATGGAGATCACCAAGTAGCTTATGTTGTTGCGGGGGAAAGCCGAGAAGCTGAAGACTGTGGGAATTATGCTCAGCAGGTAGGGGTACTCCCACTGGTATGGAGAGCAAACCACCTTGTGGGACACCAGGCTCAGCTGGCTCACAATCACCTGACAAGAGAACCACACATCAGACATCAGCTCGGGTGTTACAACTGTCAAAGAAAATCATTTTTCAAAAGGATTTGTATTACCTGAGCTGCCATCAGGACCCAGATCAGGACGTGGACGATGTTGAGTTTACGGATTTCAGACTTCAGGGCCACGCTGTGAGGGGTACCAAATGCAAACTGAATTCATGCACGTTTTTAACAATATGAAGTGAATCTCTTAACAGTCACTTATAAATCAAAGTGCAGGTACAGTTGCATTTCACTAGTCAGGAGTTGGCATCCATCTAATGTTTCTTTTGTAAATGAACATACCTCATCTGGTAGTGTGAGGCGACCTTCTCTCGGTGCTGGAAGTCACTGCCATCCGTGCCCGAGGCTCGTGGGCCTGCTCGAGATGCCATAGTGGAAATCTGGAAGCAAAATGTAACACGTTTACTTCATTGTAACATAACACATTTAAAAACAGCAGACAAAAAAAACAAGATTAAAAACGTTTCTTCCCCATTCTAATGCCGGGTCGTCTTGAACATGTCTAAATGCCTAGCAGTTGAACCTAGAGTGTACCTAATGAAGGGGCCAGTGAGTGTACTTGCACTTCGCCAACGTTGCTAACATAGCATGGTACACGTATGCTTGGCTTGCAACGTCCTCTAAATTTAGCATTTAAGTCTAGCACGACAAAAGCCTTATTTCACTTCCAGCTACATTATTACCGTTGGCAGGTTACTTTAAAACAGTTGCGGCAGGTATAAATGATGCACTCCATAGCTGTGCTAACAAGCTAACTGTTAGCAAGTCATACAGACGGGAGAGTTAGCTTGGTAGATTGAGATAAATGAGAAGCTAAGACGCCAAACTGTCACGTAATGTAAGTCGAAACGTATTCGATGTTAATCAAAGCACTTACTTTTTATCTGCTGCTGTCGTGAATAGAAACATAAATCATAAATATTCCGGTCAAAACAGGGAGACGTTTGAGCTGACTAGACCGTGTAGGCAGGAAGAAGCGAAGGCATCGTCGACATGACGTATGCAACTCTGATTGGCCAGACTCTTTCTCGCGTTATCTCGCAGGTTCTCGTTCCTTCTCATACGTGGAGGTTCCAGCAGAGGGCACCAAAGTTCTTCTAATGCAGTTCTCCATCATTTCAGTCGGGTTTAGTTCAAGACTGACTGTCCTCTTGTATTATATAAAAGAGTGACTTTTGATCAATGTAACTCAGACTTTTTAAATGTTGTGGTACTTGTAATTACTTTTTGACAACACCATTACACTACATTTAAGAGGGAACATATTATAAACTTTATTTGACAGTTCTAGTCGTAAACAAATATATTACTATGTATTGATTTGTGTATACATTAGTTTAAACTGGCTCCACCTTTAAAAAGCTAAGCAATGCTTCTGCATAATGAGCAATCTTTACTTTTAGAGTACTTTTACCCAGCAAGTATTTTTCTTGCATGTAAACTGTTGAATATACTGTAGTATTCAGTTCTCTGAGGTCACAGACTTGGCTTGTGATGACACTAGATGGATTTTGTTACAAAGGTCATTTGTCCAAGATGTCTGACCCATATGTGGCAATACATAATTATTAGAGTAAAAACCCTTTGACATTCTGGTGATCTTGTTTGCTATTTTATTACAACTAAACTGTACCAAGTTATTTTTTAAAGAATAATATACCTTTTATGTAGACAATAGCTAAAATGTGACGACATAAAAATAGTCAGGACAAATGTTTTTTTATTAGAACAATATCAATCAAAGCAACACAATTCACATATTTAAGGCACAGTTTCCCATTTAATGCTGTTCACCATTGTCCAAAAGAAATAAAAATAGGTAAGAACAAATAAGAATTTCATTCCAAAAATGGCACATCCACAGTTTAAAGAAATACAGTACAAAATAAAAAAATAAACTGACACATGGTTTTATTGGGTATGACTATGAAAATATGTTTTTTGAATGTTTGTGTTATGTTTTGCCACAGAACATTTATGATCTGCATCTTCAAATTAATTCCATCATTTAATGTTAACACACACAAATTAATACAATCCCAAATAATCAGTAGTCAAACAAATAAATTACAGAGAGTACTGACAAAGTGACAACAACCTTTTAAAGAATGGATGTCAAACAAAAAACTAAAACAAATCATGACATCGATTTGTCAAAAGCAAATATTCCATGATATATCCAGTTCAATACCTTGGACAAAATGAGAAGTACAAAATGACCATGTAGTTATTCTTATTTTAATGTCAAATTAATATGTTTACATTTCTGAAAATAATGGAAAAAGACTTTCAATAACTTAATAACTGTATGATTACCCAGCGTTCGGTACTGATAGCTGTAAGTGAAGTCATTGTACATCAAAACCGATATGTTCTTATGTGCCCAGTATACAGCGAAAAATGAAGGAAAAGTGAATACGACTTAAAGCCTTATTGCTTCAGGAATTACCAGGCCCTGACATGAACACTGATATATTGTGTGTAGATGGATATAAGAATACATGCACAATGTAAACATACGATAACTATGAGAATTGAGATATTTTGAGGTACATTTTTTTTACCGCTGCTCTCCAACACCTCTTAGATATATTAGACAAGGACCAGATATATTCATACAATGGAAATACTCTGGTCATCGTTCAATAACTGCATCACTTTTATGGACTCCATTGGTGTATGTGATGTAGGAAATGCAAAGAAATATCCAATGGAGTATGTTGTTACTTTATCTCAAAAGTGTATTCTGCCAAACCTGATTGTAAACCTTTTACCAAGACCTACATTGTACCTTTAAGACTATAATAGTTTGAACACAAACATGGTACAAAATAGCATGAATGTGTCATTCTTGTTGCCATTTTTTACATGGGGTACAATAAGAATCCGGAAAACGAAGAGTGGACATATTGACCGGCGTAAAGTCCTGAGGCCTGGTCGGACGGCAGCTGTATATGCACGGTGTCTCCTTGTCGTAACGGAAGTACTGCGCTCCCCGATGCCTGATCCAGCAAGCCCTTTGAGTATTCGTCGTATGTGTACATCACTGGCTCATTGTTCTTCGTCAGTGCTACCCACACGTTACTCCCTTTGCAGTGGACGTGGTAAGCAAAATAGTAGACCCCTGGTACGCTACAGGTAAAAACACCATTTTGGGGGTTGTAGTTCTGATTTCCATTGTGCAGGAGTTTGTCAAAGATGACAGGAGATCCTACAGGCGGGAACGGAGTAGTGAGCTTTGCTGTGAACGCAGGCATCTCAACGCCATTTCCACCTATGTCGCCTCCATTTTTCTTCCAACCTTGTTTTGTGCCAGGGTATGGGCCGGTCACGGGGAGGACCTGTCCGATGTCAGGAGATCCAGCGGGCAGTCCTGGAGGACCGGGGAGTCCGGGTTGTCCAGGTTGTCCTGTAAGTCCAGTAGGGCCACTTGGCCCAGTGTTACCTTGAGGACCAATATTACCAGAGGGTCCTAGTTTTCCTTCACCAGGATAGCCAGGTTTACCGGGTAGGCCCGTTTCACCTTTTGGCCCTGGCATCCCAGGAGGTCCGAGTGGTCCCCCTGGTCCTGTAAGCCCTGGGATACCTTGTTGTCCCTGGTAGCCTTTCCCTCCAGTTTGTCCCGCCTCTCCCCTCGGTCCAGTTAACCCTGTGGCACCAGGGGTACCAAGTGAACCCCTCATACCAGCTTCTCCTTTAGGGCCAATGGGTCCTTGAAAACCTCTCGGTCCCGGTTGTCCTTCCCCGCCTGAGAAACCCGGCTTTCCTGGAAGACCTTGGGGGCCTATGTCACCCTTCATTCCTGGATATCCTTTTTGTCCCGCAAATCCATCCTCTCCCTTTTGCCCCGGGAACCCGAGACTACCAGGAACCCCTATTGGTCCCGGTGGCCCGGGCATTCCGCTAGGACCATTAGGACCGATGACCCCTGGAAGACCTCCGTGACCTTTGTCGCCTTTTAGGCCCGGAGGTCCAGTAAGACCACCATGTCCAATGTGACCCTTAGGTCCTGGAAACCCTGGTTTACCAAAACCTGGCATGCCTGGACCCCCTGGTAAACCGTGAGGGCCCGGTTCCCCTTTCCCTCCAGGGGGCCCTGGCTGCCCTCTGAAACCATCATTTCCTGGTTTTCCAATTCCTGTCAAGCCTGGTGGTCCTGGTTGGCCTCTTTCACCACTAGGCCCCACCAGTCCTGACTCTCCAGAAGTACCAGTTTTTCCTGGTATTCCTGGTTGTCCAGGGACACCATTCATGCCAGGTTTTCCAAACCCGGGGCCGCCCGTATTGCCAGGTTGACCTGGTGGTCCGCTAGGTCCTTTCAAACCTGGCAAACCAGGTTGACCGTACCCTCTGTCTCCCTTGGGACCTGAAGGGCCAGGAAACCCAGGTGGACCTTTATGGCCAGGCTCCCCTAGACGACCAAGCTGGCCTGGCAGTCCCTGACCTCCTGGTTTCAAAATCCCTGGAAGTCCAGGGGGACCTGGGCGCCCGGGAGGCCCAGGAAGTCCAGTTGATCCTCCACCACCATTAGAACCAAGGTCACCTTTATGTCCTGGTAATCCAGGCCCTCCAGGTTTTCCTGGCAATCCTGGCATGCCAGGTTTACTGAGTCCTTGGTATCCTTGAGGACCAGGCGGCCCAGGCTTCCCTGGTAGCCCGGACAATGCCTGGCCTGGTAGCCCTTGTGGTCCTTGTGGTCCTGGCGGTCCTGGCAGTCCTGGGGGGCCCTGAATCCCTTGTGGTCCCTCTCTGAGACCTTCAACAGGACGAGGTGGAGGAGGGCCTTTCGCCCCTCTGAAGAATGTTTGACCTGTAAACAGAAGGGAACATTTGGTAGATAGAGGTGCATATTGATCAAATAAATCCACACTGATCAATAAAATACATCAATCACAACTAAAGTCGTGAAATCATTTGATTAAATGTATGATCACATATCAAGACAAATGAAGATTTGAACATTGAAGAAAATGTCAAATGCTTGTGTAATGGTGATCATGTTTAATCCTATAAAGACAGACGTGTTGCACCTGCGCTTAGCATCGTAGGTGCACAAAGACGTGCGAAAAGGCACACAACAGCAGCACAGCTGAACCTCCCTGTTTGTAACCAGTGATTCAAATTCAGATGTGTATTTTTGTGTGTTTCCCTTTTGTCTATGTCATTGCTTTACAGGTGCCCCCATCAACTGGGGTCATTTCTTTCAGCCCTTAATTCATAATGCAAATAATACTTCAGTATGCCATTTGGGAGTTGCCCTCTTTTGTACAACAAAACCGAATGATGCGATTTAAATACACCTTTAAAGGCAAATATCCCTTTGGCGACATTTTTTAAAAAGGAAACCTGTCCATTACTCAATCAAAAGTGTCTTTATGATATTTCAGCTAAAGTGTATACAGCTTAGCTTAACTGGCAAATATTAAGTGACTAAATGACAAGTAGCTATTTTCCTAACCTAAACAGACCTACCTTTGCCTGCATTCAGTGGCCTCTCTATGCCCTTTTGTAACGGCAGTGGAGGAAGATCTTTTCCATACTGAGGCAGTAATGGCCCTTCATTGCCATAAGGCAGGTGTGGCATCTCGTTCCCCAAAAACTGCTGCTGAGGAAACCCATCGTTATACTGTGGCAAGGGCGGGGGCTGGGGCCGCGGGGGGGGCTGCTTAGGTCCGTAATAAGCCCCTCCGTTGGCCAGGTGTAATAAGCACAGCTGGAACACTGTGATTGTTACATAGAAAGTGTGGAGAGGTACAGCTGCCATTTTTCTGCAGTGGAGAAGAAAGTAAAAGTAATCAATTGCAACACAGTGAATAAGGTTTTTATGCAGCTCTGAAATAATACAACGGGAAAAAAAGCATTTATTCAGATTCTAATTTACTTCCAATAATGCAACAGGATAGTGTTTTCACACATTTTAGAGTTTAACTAGAAATTGTTGATGTCTCCCTTTATATGGGTAGGGATTCTTTTGTCTTCCCACTCACTGAAGTTACATTT